AAAAGCTCTTCTGATCTTTCTTTTTGTCATTCACCAATGACAAGAGAAATGGTCTTTGCATCTTCTTCTATGACAGAAGGACATCTGAGTTGCCAGGGCCATTGAAGGTCACAAGATATCTTGTGTGTAGCCTGCAGGGACTTCCAAAACTCCAAAGTATAATTGTTTAATGGCAGGACAATAATCACAATCAGTACATTGAATTTTGAATCCCATCAAATCAATTTTAACTTTCAACTTCTGCTTCCAGATCAGGCAGCTTCAGTCATACGAAGAGTTGTTGCTGTTCATTGGCTGCTTTTCTCTCTACCGGTAGACCCTTATGAGGGTCTTAAATCGCCCTAGAGGGGCGACCACCGTCGAGGTTTTTGCTCGGCTGCGGTTGAAGCAGCAGCTCCCCCTACAGTCCGAGCTAACTCCGTAGAGCCAATGGAGAAGAAGATCGGTCAGTAAAATGGTCGATTACTTCGCTGTGCCAGCTGAAGTCAGAAAATCATCTAAGCATAAAGAACCACTGTGGTGAATCCGGGTGAGACCTTTCCTCCCTCTCTCCATCCTGAATTATTTTTCCTTCTACTTTGTTTTCTTTCTTTTCTTTTCTTTTCTTTTCTTTTTTCTTTTTTTTTCTTTTTTTCTTTTTTTTTTTTCTTTTTGCCTGTAAGAGCCTTGTTGGAATTATTTCCTTGGCTTGGAATAGCAGCTTCTACTTGTTTGGGAAGGAAAGTGTTGAACAAAAGATTAAAACAAAATTTTAAAGACTACATCTTTTTTATACATGTTTTAGGGTACCAAAAATATTCTTTTTCTTAAGAGCTGTATTATCAGTTTATGCTGTTGTTTTTTTTCTTGCTGAGCGCTATTACTATCTTATATTGGAAGAGTATTTCTTCCTCCACTTTTTTCTTAAAAAATAGAAAGAAAGGGGAAAAAAATGACTCTTGAAAAAGATTTTTTAGCTTACTGAGGACATCTACTGGCCAAAAGCTAATATTGTAATTTTTGACTATTTGGAGATGAGATGTTTGGCTTTCAGGTTTTTTTTTTGTTTGTTTGTTTGAGAGAGAGAGAGAGAGAAAGATAACCTGATCCAGCTGAATAACTTTTAAAATGAAGCTGCATTCACACTTAAATTGTAAACTTATTCTGGAAAAGATTTATGAGGCTAAAGAAGAAATATGTGCTACAATGAAAGAGTTTACTACAGAATTAATAGCCAGAATCTCTCCTTTAAACTTCAAAATTGACTCTCAAACTACTTCTGATTATTCTATAAAACAGACTACACAAGAAGAGGACTTAACTGAGAATAAAGAGAAATTGACTTTGCCTGATAAGCAGTTCACCTATGGTTTTGAGGACCAGGAAAAGCAAAGACTGAGATTTGAAATGTCAAAGCAACGAAATTTTATGGTTAAGAGAAACAGAGGGCCAATGCAAAGGCCAAGATGGTTTACATGGATTCAAATGATGCTGCAAGCAATAAAGAGAGACTTATCAGTTGGAAGGGAAGCTCTGTTATGGAAACCTACCTGGCAGAAGAAGAAGCCCAGAATAAGACTGAAAAGAAGTGAAATTTAAAATTTTATGTAATGAATTAAAGGCAATTTAGAATTATGGACTGATTTAAGGACTAAGATTATGAGCGAGATGTAAGACAAATGGGCGATTAATGGAAGATATGTATTAAATTGACTAAAAATGTACTTTTTGAATTGATGGGTTTATCGATATGAAAATTATTGTTTTTAATAAGATGATTTGTTTGTTTGATGTCCAATGGATTGAAATGGTTTAAGGTTTGATATTATCTTTTCAGCTTAAAAAGTAAGAGAAAAAGGGGTGATTAATGGAATATATATATTAAATTGATTAAGAATGTGGGGGGGGTTTTAGAATGATAGGTTTATTTGTAAGAAAATTATTATGTAATGTTAAGTTAACCTAATAAGATGATTTGTTTGTTTGATAACATGGATGTGATTAGTTATGAAAATTAACTGAATGAAATTTGAATTCTGTCAAATGGATTGAAATGATTTAAGGTTGGACTTTGTCAGTTTAAAGAGATTGATTGATGGATGGATTAGATACATATAGGATAGATTAATATTTTATTTTAAATAAGGGATATTAGTGGAAGAATAAATAAGATCTATGATAAAATTAAGGAATTAGAATATATTTGGAAGGGATACCCGAACTGATAATGTTTGTACTTAAAGTTATTTTGATTATGGTAGTGTAAATTTATAAAGCTTTAAAAACAGGTTTAGGTTGAATAAATTTAAGCTAGAATTGGATTATTTTAAATAAAATACGGTACTTAAGGGAAAAAGAGAAGGAATATTTGATGTATTGATTGAATTATGTATATATGTTTTGTTTGCGGATGTTTGACCACCCTAACACCACGGTGTGTCTTGAGTACTTTGTTTTAAAAATCAAAAAAACAATAAAACTTGTCTTTAAAAAAAATTTAAAAAATCAATTTTAACTTTTGTCCTGCCTCTCCTTATTTTTTTTTAAGTGCAATCCTGGCACACCACTCACATGCCAAACACAGCTTTCAGTGCAGATAAACATTCACGCCCCTCATTTATTGCATGATTGAGCCATGGAACTGAAAGAAGATGTATCATTCAAATCTGAGTCAGTTCAGGCATGAATTAAATCCTACACTGAGGAGAAAAAGGTCAAATCAAATAAGTTTTATTTATTCATTTATTTCTATATCTAACTTTTTAACTGCTCATCTCCCTCAAAGTTAATAAACTATTCCAGATTCGAGTTTCAGGTGGTTCTTTATCATCAGGGAAACTTGGTTTGAAAGCAAATCTGGTGATTGGTGGGAGATCAACACCATTCTCTTTCTCTCTTCTCCTCTCCTGCCTTTATTAGTTTTACAAATAGCTCAAGGTGGCAAACTTACCTAACACACTTTCCTTCTCTTATTTCCCCCACAACAATCCTATGAGGTGGGTTGGCCCAAGGTCATGGTTTTCATGGCTAAGACAGGACTTGAACTCACAGTCTTCCATTTTCTAACCTTGTGCCTTAACCACTAGACCAAAGTGGGATGTATATCTTCCATGTTACATTATAATTGTACAGGTGTACTTGGACAGCATATATTTAACACATTTTTGTCCCACTCTTCCCACATCAGAAGGAAGAATACAAATATTAGAAGGAAAAAAGAAATAACCTTGAGAACTCAAGAAAAGAGGAATTGGAAGAACTTTTTAAAAAGAGACAGGGCTTTAATCATATAACTATGCCATCATCTTGACTTTGTTTGACATACACAAATCCCACCTGGTTAAAACAGATAAAGAAGGGGGATGGAGAGGAAGGGTGACAAAAGCAAAATGACTTTTGAAAAGATACCGTACAAAAATGTTGCTAGGAGAAAAATTCCTTAAGAGTGAGCAGAGCCAATTATTTAGAAAGATTGCGGGCTTCATTCAGAGGACCTCCTCTTACAGAGGCTAGGCAGTTTGGACTCATTGGCCACAACACATTTCCGCCACTATTATTCTATATTTTGATGTAAAGGGAATGCAATGTACTGTCTTCTGAAGGACCTGATTGCCCAGTTTTGCCCCTGAAGAGCAAGTAAGTCAAAAGATGTTTAGATGTCAAAGAAAATTGTTTAGAGTAACTCCCTAATTCACAAGAAGTTGTCCCGTTCTGATATATTTCATTAAATTGTTCATTCAAGATACAAAGCATACCTACCAGGTCATTCAGGAAGCTGTTGCAGTGATACTCCAAGGAAATTAAAAATTACAGTAAATACTGGAAAAATGCTATATCCTATGGCAATCAATGAGATTTTATCACAGAATTATCTGCTTGTCTGGAAGGGTCTTCTTTCAGGTAATTGTAGCTAGGATGTCAATCATAAATTGGGTAATTCAGTCCCACTTTGATATTCAGTGATAGCCTAACTTGTCACTACTTTCATCTTCTTTCTCCTTCTCAATGAAGAACATAAAGCACTCTGCAACTTTTCTTTTGTGTTCTAAGCATATGTTAAAATGCCTTCAACACATTCAAAGTGTTGTTTGAAAGTGCTTCAACTGAAAAAAAAAGTTTAAAGTTAAACTTCAGTATGCTCTCTAAAACATTCCAAGTCATGTAGAAAGCAGCTGGTAGTTTTCTTTTTTTCTTCACCGAAGGCCATCATTCCTGAGCAGAAATAAATTATTCCTCAGAATGCAGTATCTTTGTATCAATTTATAAACATGCCATCTATAGTGTGAGGGCCACAATGGCTCAGCGATTAAGATGCTAGGCTTGCCGGCTGGAAAGTTGACATCCCAGGTTCAAGACCTGAGCACCGCGCAAGAGGGTGAGCTTCTGTTACTTGCCCCAGCTCCTACCCATCTAGCAGTTCAAAAACATGCAAACAGATAAATAGGTATCACTTCTGTGAGAAAGTAACAGCATTCTGTGTGCCTTGGCATACAGTCATGCTGGCCACATGATCATGGAAATGTCTTTGGACAACAATGACTCCCTCAGCTAAGAAACGGACACAAACACCCCCTCCCATAGTCATACATGACTGGCCAGGGGAACCTTTATCTATTGTGTATTGACATGTAGCTATTTCAGTATCAACTTCTAAATTATTTTCTCTAGTCTATAGAATCTTTTTTTCCTTCAACATGTTTGCTGGAATTCTCACAACAAAAATCTCCTATATGCAGATACTAATGTGAACCTTTTTGTACCCATATTAATTAGTCTGTCTAGAAGTCTTTTAAGACCCTTTAAACCTGTTGGCTGTCCTATGACTTGTTCATAGAGAAGCCATTTCTTAACATAGAAACTGGAAGCAGGAGAAAATAAATATTTTTAGCCAAAAAAATGCAAATACTTTTAGCAGGTGGGGTCACTATTAAGAATGTGGGTGTAACATGTGGTTTAATATGTAGTTAGTTGCATGTCAAAATAGCCTAGGACGACACATTTAAATATAAGACAAGGGGAAGGAAGGGGAGAAATAAATTCATTCAGCTAGTCAAAGTACACCGGTTATACAAAAAGGAATAGTTTTCTTCATGTATTGTTCTTGTCAAAATACAATTAAAACGATAATATTTTCAAAGCTCAAGTGACTCTTAAAATGCTCAGTCCTTCGGGTAGTTTTGCTATGGGAAACTTCATAGAAGCTCTATGGGAGCAGCGTCTTGTCCATGGAATGCTTTTTAGCCCAGGTTAAAGTATTTTATTTGCCCAAGCATTTTAAAGGTAGTTTGCAAAATTTGCGCTGCTGCTTCAGACATCTGGGATTAATTTTGAAGTATCATTCCAGTCTATAGCATTTCATCAACATATATCTCAGCAAATGTTTGCAAAAGAAAGAGAAAATATATACATATTTTAACTACCCTCTGTCTGGTCATAATATGCTAGAAATTCTGCTAAACATATCAGACTAAGACAATGTCCTCTTGCAGTTGTGTTGGAGTTAAGATGGTCTATAACTTCTGCCTTAAATGAAACTTAAAGGACATATAGGGAAATTAAATGTATTTCTTTTTCTTTTGATAAGAATCAATATAAAATAAAATGTTGAGGGAAAATGTATACTCAGACTTTTTAAATATATAAAAGCCATTTTGGTGCACTGAGTTGGTTTAATTATTCTGTTTTTATTTTTTATTACTGTGAACTGCCTAAGATTATCTTGTATAAGCTAGATGGCTATATCAATTTCTAAACAAATAAATTTTCTTGAAAGATGGGTAAACGTCTAATGTTTCTGATTACGGGAAGCATAAATTACAGATAGATCCCTGGCTGATTTTCAATGGATGGGTAAAGAATTCTTATTTGAGGAATGTAAACAGCTGCCCCAAATTATACACTGAAATAAAAACTGCTTGAGATTCTAAAATCCAATTTTTCTGCAGAAGACTGTTAAGTGGTGGCATTCAAAGCATATTCTTGCCCTCAAGAAATTTTATTTCAATTTCCCGAAGCTGGCCATCCTTCATCAATGCAGATACCACCAATTCTTCATAAAATAATTGAAATAAAATTTATTAGATTACTTATAAAATAAAATAAGAAACCACTTCTATTGCAAATGGACAAATTTTGCTTTGTTATAATTTTTTCCTATAGTTATAAATGGCTGTTTATTCCCAGCCATTGGAAATGTAGTGCCCATTAGGCTATAGCATATGTACTTATAAATCCTTGCTATATACAGGCCTCTCTCCCTCTTGTAAGCTTTGTGATAGCAACAAAAATGTAAAAAATTAAGTTTCAAAATCTTAGTATAAAATGTCCTGGATCAAACATTATCTGATATGCTTGGGTGAAGTTTTTTTTTTAATAGTCACCTACAAGAAGTGAATCACAGTGGAAACTGTAAGGCAGAAAATGATGGCAAACTTGCAACGGTGCTCTCATTCCAATCCCTGGGTGTGTCTTTGGATTTTTGCTTTATGAGCAATCAATTTTAGTAGACAATTCACTCTGGCACAGACCTTATGTAAAAGAAGAGTGCCTCTTAGTGTCGGCTGTCAAGCAGAATTGCCTCAGGAATGACCTGCAGAAAAAATGATCAGTTTATAGAACTTCTTTACTACAAAGTTAATGGTGAGGTTACTAAACTGCAGAGTCCACAGATGCATTCATAACAGACTGAAACAAATAAATATGGCTGAATGTCAGATAAATTGAGAAAGGAAACTGAGAAGTTGCAGCCATAGCACAATTATGTGAATAAGCAAACACAAAATTTGGCAGTTTTTTTAATTCTCTCTATCAAGTCCTTCCCTTTAATATTCAAGAATCTTATTAGTCTGCTATTTGCTGACACTTCTTGAATATTAGAATACATTACTTTTTTCTCCCCCACTGCACCCCATGTTTTTGCAAATTATCTTATTAAATAAATATGGGCTGTAAAAATAATTAACTGTAACTTGGGTGGCAACAGACTGAAACTCATATTCTCAACTCCACTGTCCATAAAGAATATATGGAATCTGTTCTCTTCTGCTTTCTTCAGAGGAATACCAACTGCTGCTAGAGACTAATAAGACTCCTCCAACGTTAAAAGATTTCCCAGGTTTGCAAGGACAGTCATTCCTAGTTATATCCATGAACGTGGACTGCTAAATTTACTGAGATATTCTTCATGAGTCCTTGAAAGTCATTCTGATAATGATGTTGGACTGATGATTCCAGGATTCCAAACTGCATAAAAATATGGAGAAATAAAGTCTGATCTATTTATTTCTGAACTTTCCATTTCTTTTTTTTTCCTCCAGCAACTTTATTCCTGACTCCCAACGCTCCTTCTGCATCATCATCATCATCCTCATTTGTCTCGTCTCGAGGACGTTTCTTCTTTTCTCCTTGTTGCCGCAACTCCTGCAAAAGAAACAGGAGAATGTTATCATGAGACCTTTAAGGAAATCCATCACTGAGACAATAAAGAAGATAAACATATTATTTAATAGAAGTTAATTAGGAAAGGATTTGATAGTGGTAGCAAAAGCAAAAGACTCCTTAAAGTTGCCCCTGAGTTAATGGGATGTTTTTAATTTTGAAAAAAAGAAAATAAAAAGAACTAGAACAGTGAGGACATGGAATACAGCTCTTCATGCAAGAATAAAAGAATCTCTCAGCTCTTGAAGCCTTGTTTGGAATTTGACTACCCAAGCAATAGACACCTGAAGCTGTATAAATCCTAATATTCTCACAATCATGAGTGCAACGGTTACATTTCTACATAAAACAAACCAGACCGAGCATTAAAGCAGCCTACCATGCGAGCAAATCTCTGGGCTTCAGCCACACGCTCGGTCAACATCATGACCTCTTCTTCTTGAGTGGGAAAGGCTGGCAGCTTTTTACCAATCAAGTGCTCAATGCGCTGGAAGAGTTCCACATCATACCTGGAAGAGGAGAAAGGATTTTTCTAAAGAATCTCACCCTAATTAATTCCCTGTCAGTTACTTAAGTGTTAAAAGCAACAAATTCACCAGTATTTTTATGCTATGTTTCATTTTACTAATTTTTCCTTTCAATCTTTAACAAAACAGAACTTTCTCCACTATATAGCAAAAATATAACACATTCCCGAAGAAGCCCTCTGAGTCAAAACCATTCTAGACATCAGTGTTATATAAGAACAGAACAAATAATACCATAAACCATAGTCTGTCTGGAGGATTCTGCAGCAAATACTGGGCAAGCTATGTGTCATCCAGGTTTACTCCTCAGTAAAAGCATATAGGAACTTCACTTATCAATTTATGGGCATTCTACACAGATTAAGGCCAGGCATAATGCAGAAACTTAATAATGTTAGGAAAAGCTATGCTTGTGTTATATATGCTGGGAGGGAGGGAAAGGACAAAGGAAGAGGGAATTGGCCCAACTCAAGTGCTGTTCTCTCAAATCTCCTTCCAACTATGCAGGGGGAGGGATGCTTCTTCCCCGGTTTATTGCAAATTGTGGGTCTCTTGAAATAGCTCTGTATTTCCCAAGGACCCTGTAGCTGGAAATCACTGCATTGGAATATATAAATTCTGATAGTGGTACAGCTGGAGTAGCACAAAACAATATCTTACTGTGTCACGAAGGTGATTGATTTACCCGATCGTCCAGCTCGAGCTGTTCTCCCTACTCGATGAATGTAATCCTGAAAGGAATCCAGAATAAGTAACAGAACAAGATGGTGGTTATAGGACAGCCACTAAAATAAATGTCCTCAAAATAAAACGTTTTCATCATAAATGTCAACTATTAAAACAGGCAGTTTTCCAGATAAAGGAACTCAGCTCAGCTTCCTAAAAGTTGGTAAGGAAGAAAGCACGTAAATTCTCTAAAAAGCAATACAGTATGTAAAAGCATATGTGGCCCTGCTGTCATTTGAGATTCCAACAGAAAAGATTCATTTTGGAGCTGCTACCATCACCAAAGGTGGTGGAGTCCCATCAACCCATCATCACTGCATAATACCTACAATACTAATTCATTTTATCTGTAATTCTCACTCTTTCATTCAACCTCTTGCTGACATACCTTTAGCCTTCTGAGCTTTAATATCACTCAGTGCTTCACAACTCTATATGTAATCTATATGTAGTTTAACGAAGAGAAGGACAAGGGGGGACATGATAGCAGTGTTCCAATATCTCAGGGGCTGGCACAAAGAAGAGGGAGTCAAGCTATTTTCCAAAGCACTTGAAGGCAGGACAAGAAGCAACAGATGGAAACTAATCAAGGAGAGAAGCAACCTAGAACTAAGGAGAAACTTCCTGACAGTTAGAACAATTAACCAGTGGAACAACCTGCCTCCAGAAGTGGTGAATGCTCCAACACTGGAAGTTTTTAAGAAGAGATTGGACAGCCATTTGTCTGAAATGATATAGGGTTTCCCAAGGTCCCTTCCAACATCAACATCAACATCATCATCATCATCATCATTATTATTATTACTGCTGCTGCTGCTGCTGCTGCTGCTACTACTACTACTACTACTACTACTATGGATCATTGCACAGTCAGCCAGATGTTCAGACTGGATTTGGCATTTTGTCTACTACTACTACTACTACTACTACTACTACTACTACTACTACTACTATGGATCATTGCACAGTCAGCCAGATGTTCAGACTGGATTTGGCATTTTGTCTACCTATCGAGTCCTTACCCAGGACCTGGGATAGGCAGATGTGGATGTTTGATGGTATTACAGATATCGTCGCAGGATGGAAGCAGTTCCTAATAAGGCCGCCTTTTGCAATTGACTAATAGCGAATTTGTCAATGCCAATGGTGTTCAAGTGGTGCTCCAGTTGTTTTGGGATTGCACCCAAGGAGCCTATTACTATTGGTACTACCCTTGCTTGCTTTTGCCACAGTCTTTCTATTTCTATTTGTAGGTCTTTGTATTTTGTTATCTTCTCCAGTTCTTTCTCTTCTATTCTGCTATCTCCAGGCACTGCCACGTCCACTATCCAGACTTTTTTGTCTTTCTTATCGACAATTGTTAAGTCTGGGGTGTTATGTTGCAGGTGCTTGTCTGTTTGAATTCTGAAGTCCCAGAGCAGTTTAATTTTATCATTTTCTATGACTTTCTCTATTTTATGATCCCACCAGTTTTTGCTTACAGGCAAATGATATTTTTTGCAGATCTTTCCAATGCACCATTGTTGCTACTTTGTCATGCCGCTGCTTGTAATCAGTCTGTGCAATCTTCTTGCAACAGCTTACCAAGTGGTCCACTGTTTCTTCAGCTTCTTTGCATAGGCGGCACTTACTGTCTGTTGCTGTCTTCTCAATTTTGACTTTATATGCATTTGTCCTTAAGGCTTGGTCTTGTGCAGCCAGAATTAGTCCCTCGGTCTCTTTCTTCAATTTTCCTGCTCTTAGCCATTGCCAGGTCTTGTTATTATCTGCTTTCCCAGCTATTTTTTTAATGTATTGGCCATGTAGTGCTTTGTCTTCCCATGCCTCTATTCTGTTCTTCATTTGGTCTTTCTTGTAGGCCAGTTTGGTCTCTCCAGTAGTCAGTAAGCCTTCCTGATATACTAATTTCAGTGCATCTTCATCATTGTTCTTCAGATATTCTTCCAAAGCCATTTTTTCTTCTTCAACCATCTGATGTACTTGTAGCATTCCACGCCCACCTATTTGCCTTGGTAGAATTATTATTATTATTATTGTTGTTGTTGTTGTTGAAGAATATGACCAAAAGTTGCCCATTTCTTCTGGTTTATTTTATAGATCTTTTGTAATTTGTCCCAATTCACAAACTCTGAGCAGTGTATAAAGAATAAAAACATGAAAAACAACAATATTAAATCTACCTCCAAGACAAATGTTGCTAACCAATCAATTAGGATTAAAGGCACAGTAGAAGAGATTTGTTCCAAAGAACTCACAAAATGTTAATAGAGAAAGAGCTACAGGAATAGTTACAGAGCAATATTACCATAAGATGGGGGCCACAACAGAAAAGCCTTGCTGTATTATTCAGATCTCCTAAACTTCACAGAGCAAGTCTCCACAAAAAGTTCTTAATAGATAGGCAAATTCAGTTTCAAAATCTATGATGATGTCTTTGAAATTCTAGGCAACAGTCAGTCATATCTCAGCTAACAGCTTTTTCAACTCACCTTGGAGTGGGTAGGAATGTCAAAGTTTATCACTACATCAACATGAGGGATGTCAAGGCCTCTACTTGCAACATCAGTTGCCAACAAGATGGACCGTGCTTTAGCTTTGAACTTGTTCAGTGATCCTAATCGTTTATTCTAGAAGGACAAAGGAGCACATTAGTATGCACTTATATTTTTTCACCTCATTTAGCATGGCAAAGTGGAAGGTATGAAAGCATTATTTATTAATCACAATGTTCGAAAGTGTCACATTGGGCAAAAAAGTATTGAAAGGAGAACAAGTTTGAGAATGGATACATACTTATTTTGCTATTATCACACATTTGTTACTTCATAATCTAAAAATTTTCTTGTAAGCACATTAGCCTCTACCTGGCTCATCTGTCCATGGAGGGGAATAGCAGTAAAGCCCAAATTTCGAAGCAAGAGTGCCGTTCTCTGAGTATTGTTGCATGTATTGCAGAATATCATGAATGAGTTGCCAGCAAGTTCATTCAGAATGTACACAAGATAACTATCCTAAGAGCATCAGAAAAAGAACTTAAATCAGGAAATATGAAAGGCAAAGGGGTGCAAAGTTTAAAAAATGCCAAGTACTAAAGAAAATCCAAAACAAAAATGAAAAATAAATTACCTTGAACTTGGAAGGAATAAAAATATAGTATTGCTGAAGTTTTTCAACTGTCTGGTATTTTGATGACACTGCACATTTCATAGGGTCTTTAAGGGCTGCACGCTGAAGTTTTTGCACCTGAGAATTAAAATTAAATTTCCAGACAATAATTCCACTGTACCTCTATCTCTCAATTCTGTCTCACTCTCCTAAACAAATGCAAAGTGTCAAGCTGTCTCACACCTTTTTAGTCATCGTAGCAGAAAAGAGAAATGTCTTCCTGTCTCTGGGAATTACTTTCAGGATTTTATCTACCTGTAAAGAGAAAGAACAAATGAAATGCAAAAGAAAAGAACACTGATCAATGTGCATGCATGCATGCAGACCTATACCAGGTATGCCTGATGGAAGCCATAGAGCAAGAACTTTCAGTTTAAGCCAAGACATTGCATTACTCTTCAGCAAGGAATGATGAGTTTAACAACTAAAAGATTCCTGTGGGAACAGTTCAGATTTAAGTGGATTCACTTTAGCAAGGATGCACTGGGAAGGGTCATATCCATATTAAAGGAACTTAATAAATCTACTTCCCAAGCAGCTACTTCTAAATGACCAAGAGAATACATGGCATACGTTCAATATCAGGAAGGAAAGTCTGACAAATCCCATGAATGTATGGGTTATTTTGAAATCATATTTCTGAAAAATACCAGCTTAGCAATACAATGAATCATTCTAAAGTGGCAGGGATGGGCACATCTCACCTCTGTTTCAAAGTCCATGTTGAGGATGCGGTCAGCTTCATCCATAACTAGGTATTTCAGAGCTCTAAGATTGAAACCCTTTGTATTCTCAAGATGATCAATAAGACGACCAGGCGTAGCTACCAGGAGAAAGAGTGTTATGAGGGTTCTTTATTTATTCATTTATTTATATCTCACTTTTATTTTTTATAAATAACTCGAGGTGGCAAACATATAGAACACACCTTCCTTCTCCTATTTCCCCACAACAACTTTGTAAGGTTGGTTGGGCTCTGGGAGCGGGACTGGTGCGAGTTTACCCAGTTGGCTTTCATAGCTAATTATGAAAGACTAGAACTCACAGACTTTCCGGTTTCTAGCCTGCTGTGGCTATTTTTTTTTTTTTTTTGTAATATATTTTACTGATCTTTTTTTAAACATAAATCACTTAATAATTGGTGAACAGTGTGTTGTCTGGATTACATTTGTAAAACAATCATTAACAATTGATTTCTATAATCCATAATCCACATAATGGTTTTAGCTGATTTCCTCTTTTCCCAAAATATCCTCTTTTGCAAACATTGAGTTAATACAATTCTTACTGTTTTGATAGATAACAATTAAATATATAATTTTTTCCAATATTCCTAAAATAATAATCACATCAATATAATATTTCTTTTCTATTCAATCATTCTGGTTGCCTTATCCTAGATCCTGTTACAGTCCTTACTTTAGTTTGTTTCGCCCACCAAATTCTAGGTATTTTTATTGGTTAAGATTTTCTCAAAAATTAATTACATTAAAAAATTTAACTCTATTTTTTCATATGAACCATCTCACACTTTTACATTTCTTAAGGAATAGATAAAACAATAAAAAGAAAAGAAAAGAAAGGAGAGCATAAGTAAAGAAACATAGAAAATAACATACTACTTAAAATATATATTCCTCCTAAGCTAATATATATTTATTTCCTAAATTTCTTATTCTTTTTAACCACAATTACAAATATGTTTAATCTTTAAACATTCTATTTAATACATCTAATCTAGTCCTTTAACTCTTATTCAAAACATTTTTATCCATTATAATTTTCTTAAATTCAATCACATTTAAGTATCTAAAACATTTCCTTTATATAAGTCATTTCAACTTTTTTATATTACACATATCAAGAAAGAGAACAAAAAAGGGAAAAAAGCCTACTATATTATATTTAGAGAATTCATCCTCTTAGAATGACATATATATTCCAAAACCTTTCTATTTCTTTAACCATATTCAAACAAATGTTTCTTTTTTAAGTATTCTCTCTGGTAAGTCCCATCATCTATTTTCTTGGTTTCCACCTTAGTCTTTTTCCTTTGCCCAGTATCTTTCTTAACCAATGTATTTTGCTGAATCAAAAAGTTTTTCCGTATGTTTGTAAATGTTGCTGTAAATATAAAAAGTAAATCAGGTGAAGTGTCTTTGTACAGAGCTTCTGCCTTTCCATGTTTGTTGAAAATCTTTTTCTTTTTCTTTCTCTCCGCTTCTCTTATCATTTCCTTTCTCTCCGATGTTTCTGACATCTCTACAGTCCATTTTATCCAATCTGTTTTCTTGTCCTTTTTTCCAATTCTTGTGAATTTTTTTCCACTAGGATTAAATCACGTTTCCTTGTTTTGTTAAGTTCCATCTGTAAGTCTCTATTCTCAATTCTATATCCATTCATCTGTTTTATCTACTCCTTCTCTATTGTTGTTTTCTGGGAATTTTTTTGTTGTAAAGTTAACTTAGAAATAGATTGATTTATATTTTCAAAGTTATTTTGGATTTCTTTCTGGTTTAAAGTCATTGTTGTTTGAATTAGTTGCAGTATACTATATATCTCCTCCTGTGAAGTATTTATGTTTTCTTGATTATATTCTTTCTACATGTCTCTGATCCATGATGGCCAAGAATTTGAGTTTTTCTCTTCCTTTCTTTTCTCTGCAAATAGCTTTAGAGTCCCAATTAAATAGATATTTGTAATCCAAATAGTTCAAAAAAGTTTGCAAAGCATATTCTGAGGAATATAGATCAAGCTAGAATCCTAAATAGACCTGAAGTTACATGGGCTTGCTGAATCTTAGCAATCCAGGGACTTGCTCTAAATAATTTTAAATGAATTCCTCTGTAGGAAAGAGTAAATGCAAGATGGCTAATCTATTCATTCTAAAGCTAAGTTTGATGAAGAAATGCTATCCAAACAGCATATATATATATATATATATATATCAGTTACTATTGTCCATAGGAAATTTGTCAAAGCGGAATATAATGAATTAAAAAAATTAAAACTTAGAGATTCAAAGCAAACACGGCAACCAAAAAGACATTACAAATCGTTGCATCAGATATATTTTCCCAACTATTATTGTTTTAAAATACAAGACCAGTAATTAGTTAATTGGAGTCAGAGATCATTAAACTGGCAAGGCAAGAGATGGGGAGTGCATCAGATAGTCAATTATATCGCCTAACCCTTATTTAGTATCTCACCATTTCCATAGGATCAAATTGTAGGCTAGATCCTTACCAATAATTACATGGGGCTTCTTGGCTAGGGCCAGAGATTGCGACATCATGTCAATTCCTCCAACAATGACAGCTTAGGAAAGAAAAGAAAAATTAAATAATGGCCACCTCAGCAGGTCAATCACAATACTATTCAACCCCTACCCCAACAGTTTGTCTCTGGGGTTTGAATAAGTAACGCATTTGCTATATTGTCAGCTGAGAAACCAAATAACTTGCAGTGAACGTTAGACAGACATTATGGTGCAAGATTTGTGTAAACAGGAAAAGTAGTTGCAAATTATATGTATATGATAAAGAACATTTAGAACAACTAGATGAATCTGTGTATCTTGGTAGAATGTTTATTAAAGATGCTTTTGCACCTATTCTCTTAAATTTCATGATGTTTTATATTCATATGAAGTCTTGTAGCCACACTACTTACTACTCTGGACACCAATGGAAGATCCAAGAGCCTCAAATTGTTCGGAAATCTGAAAGGCTAACTCCCGGGTGGGTGTAAGTACCAGAGCAAAGAAGCGCTGGGGAGTTTCTAATAATGCCTGAAGGATGGGCAAAGCAAAAGCCCCCGTTTTTCCAGATCCTGTCTCTGCTAAGCCAATGATGTCCCGACCTATGAGGAAAAAAAATGTGTCACATTCAATGTCAATGGAAAAAAAAGTAACATAGTAATATAGATGGACAGAACCCAGAGTAATTATGGAAAGCATTTTCAGAAAATTCAGAAAATTTTAGTTGAGTAAATGTACAAACAGAGCACCAGAGTAAGACGGTTCTTTTTTCACTTACTGAAGCATCTTTTCTCAAACACCAAACAATCCTTAAAAACTATATTTATCTTTACATTAATGTAGGGTTAGACTAAACAATGGAGGTATGTGGAAAGGTCCCATAAATAAAAAGATGCCTTGCTGTTTAGCCTAGTTCAGAGAGTTGGAAATGCAGACCCGTTAATTACATTGTTCTGAATAACACATTAAATCCATCAGTACGGCATACTCTCCTTTCCCTTACATTCAGGTCCCAGAATCATACTCACCTTGGAGTGCAACTGGAATAGCTTCTACTTGGATCTTTGTTGGTGTCTTCCATCCTAACTGGCTGCATGCTTCACACAGTACATCTGTCACTCCCTATTATTTCAAAGAAAAAGGGGGAAGGAGAGCAAAAGCTATAATCAGCAAGAAGCCACAGATCTGAATATAGATTCTAGCATTTTTTTAAGTTCCAGAAAACTGAAAATTTTAAAGCAAGGACAATTATAATTTTTTATTAATGTATATTTATAGTGCTTCTGATACAAAAGCATCTGAAACTCAATTTATAGAATACAAAATATAATATAAAATAAAACAAAACATATAGTGATAAAAGGAAAGGAAAAGACTTATCGAACCTTCATACAGAGAAGGCTTGAGTAAAAATATAGATCACGGGTGTCGAACTCGCCATGTCACGTGACACGTTGTGACGTATTGCAACTTTTTTGCATTGCCAGAGCTGGGGTTGGCGCGGCATCCCTACGATGCAACCGGCCTATGAGCCAGCAGTTTGACATCCCTGATATAGATCAACAGGTTTCTAATGTAAGTAATAGCAGCTGTCTCATGAATTTCAGGAGATAAAACATTCCAGAGTAGAGTCCTTATCACAGAGAAAGCTCATCAACAGGCAAGCATAATGGCATCTTGCAGTTCTAGGCAGATGCAGAAGGACCTCCTCCAACAAAGGAAGAAATTGATCAAGTCTGAAATTACAAAGGCAATCTATCCAATATTTGTTCAGAGTCTTATAGATCATAAGCAAAACCTTGGTTTTAGAAGCTTACTGGCAGTTAATATAATTATTTTGTTAAAGAATCATCTTTAATAAGAAAATATTATTTAAATATTACATAATTATCTACATCCCTCTTGAGAAAAATGTGTAATTGGTATACCAATCAAAGCTGCCATAACCACTTAATCCTCCAATGTCAGCAATGTTCTAACAATACCCTCAACTATATATATATATTCTTTCTGATGAAGTGCAATCTGATAGAAAATAACTTTCCATGTCTGGCAACCACTCACCACAAGCTCTCCTCCCATCTTGAGGGAGCTTAGTAGCACTATTGAAGAAATGTCAAAGAGAGGAACAAATGGGATTCTTGGATGGGAAGAAGCAACAATTCCAAAAAGTTTTAAAACTGTGTAATGTAAAATGAGAAAATATTAATGAAATGGGATCTTAAACCCCTCAATGAAAATTCAAGAAGAATATTACAGCAGTTTGTAGCTTTTAGTGTCTATAAATGAATGCTTAAGGTATATGAAATAACAAAAATAAGGTTTAAGTTCTCAGTACAGAAAGGCAAGTATAATCTGGAGCGTGGCCTTCCATGACTGGAAATAGCAACTGAACTTGTTCAAAATATACAACAGAAACAGAGTTGCGCTATTTGTAAAAAAAAAAAAAATCAAATCCATTCCTGCCAAACTCCAAATGAATTGTTTCCCTGCCTTCAGTTTATTTACAGAACTGATAAAGATGAGTGAGAATTCTTAAAGAAGGAAACACTAAAAACACAACTGCAAACAGTTGTGAGGAAGAAAAAATGGAGAACAGCAGAAACCAATGTCATTACACGAACTTAGAAAATATCTGAAAACAAAAAACATATCTAGAAAATTGGAAAAGGATCAAGTCCATGTCACAAAAGAAGAATATAAACAAGTAACTTGGAATCTCAGAAGGAGCTGTGTTTAGCTAAGAATAACAGAAAGGGCTTATATAGATACTTTCAAAATAAAAGGAAAAGGAAAAAATCAGTATAATAGCTGCTCAATGAAGACATAAAAATACTAACAAATAACAAAGTAAAGTCAGAGCTTTTCAAAAACTTTTATTTTGGTTTACTTGTCTTCAAAGTATCGTGTTTCACCAGGAAATTATGACAGGACAGCACTGAAGGTTGAGACAAAAACACGATAAAGAAATATTTGACTAAATTTAAAGTAAAAAATTCATTACTAGTTGACTGGAAAATGCTAGTTGACTCTCAACCTCCCTATATTCAAAAATGGGTATAAACTAGAACCAATGTAACATTATTTTCTAAGAATCTAGAGCAGATCATAAAAGGGCCACTTTGTAATCACCTTTAAGACAATGGAGTAATTTATTAGCACTGATTTGGAAAGAAGAAATCTTACCAGCCTGTCTTTATATCAACCTTAATAAATTGTAGGAATATTGCCGACATAATGAATCTTGATTACAGCAAAGCATTTGACAAAGTATGCCATGACATGCTGATTAACAAGCTTAGAAAGCCAGTTAAGTATTAGATGGCATGTCAATTAAAACAGTACATATCTGTCTTTGAAAATTATACACAGAAACTTCCCATTAATGATTCCTTATCAAGTTGGACACAAGGTTGCCAAGACTACCCATAAGGTTCATTCCCAAAATCTCTGTCTGTCCATATTTGTATTAATGACTTGGATGAAGAAGAGACAATGCTTAACAGATCCAGTTACACAGAATTGAATGGGATAGCTAAGACAGAAATAGAATTCATACAATTTTGATAAATTACAGAAATTGGCAGAGGATAAGAGAATTTTACAAAAGAAACACAATGTTCTCTTAGGAAACAAAGATCACAGGCATAAGTATAAGATGAGAAACATCTAGCTTGGTGATAGTGATACACGATTCTTGGTGATGATACTTGGTATTGGAATATTAGTTTGCAAACTGAACATCAGCCAGAAGAATTATGTGATTACAAAAAGGCAGATACAACAAAGTCATAACTTCTAATTTGTGGGGAACAAACATTCCACTGTATTCTGCTTTGGTCAGATCCCACCTTGAGTAGTAATATTTTAATCCAATTCTGGGCATCAATTTTATAAAGTATTCATAAAAACAGAATAGTTTTAGAGAAAGTCAAATAGGATGATCAGGAGATTAAAACTCAGGATTATACAGAGAGATTGAAAGAGCTAAACATGCTTAGTCTTGAGGACACAACACAGGGGAATTATGGTAGTAATTTTCAAATACTTGAAAAAGGATGTGATATAAAGACTCTTGTCTTTCATGATGAACCATACGAAACAAAGGACTCAGGTTAGAGTCCATCTGAATCTCAGAAAAAACCACCAAGAACATTTTGACATTGGAGCCAATTATTTGGAGAGGCAGTAGCTTATTTCTACTGTGTGTATTAAAACAGAATTTAAAAACCATCTTAGATGCTTTAATTTCCGCAGTACTCAGAAGATTGAACTCAGCGGCTAAATGGTTCTAAAGAGTTTTAAAACTCATAATAATGGCAGTAGTAGAAAATAGATTTAAGATCATAACAGAAAAGTGTAATGAGGAAGTAGACTTCAGTACCACCAGAATACTGGTGACAGGCCACATCTAGAAGTTTGAAAGTACTGGTAAAGCACTCTCTGCCACTCTACAGTATAGCTGTCAGGGCTACAGCCACCTACTTATTTGTCTAAGGCTAACCCTACAACTAACAGTGGAACTACTATAACAGTGTCCCCAATCCTTAATTCATGAAGAGATTCCAGTAAGATACCATGATTAATTGTATCAAAAGCGGTCGAAAGATCAAGCAAATCAAAACTCATGTTTCCTTTGTCTCTCCCTGGAGGTCTACTATGACTGAATTTATCTCCAAACCAGGCCATAAATCAGATTAAAAAGAGATGTGACCAAGTCTCTCAGGACATCTGCAATTGCATAACCATTATTCTCTTAATTATCTTGCCCTCATAAGGTTATTTCTGGAGCAAATAACAAACTCTTGATTACCCTAAAGAGTTCACACCTGAGCAGATACATGTATGCATGTATACAGTAAAGCTTATCAACCCATCATTTAAATGAATCACATCCCTGCATAGTAGTGTCTTATAGCTTACTTTACAACTAGAGCACTTAAGATAAAAAGGAAGACACCTGAATTCTGTAGCATCAGAGGACAATTAAGGATCAGATGCTATATGGATGGCTAGTTTTGTTTCTCTATTCCATAAGTCAATATGGGCATCTATACAATCACCAAGCCTAGCTTTTGTAAAATCTTGGAGAACATAAAAAAAGTCCTTAAGTCTCCAAGATCATCTTTGCAGATCCCTCCCCTGTGAAGGGACCAAACTTTACCTACCAGCAGAGTAACACTAACTCCCTTGTAATATTCAAACCACCCACTTTCAACTTGAGACAAAAATTAAATGAGGCTGTGCCCCACCCTATGACTTGTCTTTTTATTTGTTGTATGTGGCCCAGACTTGGAAGATTAGAGTGGTATGTGTCTAGGAGTGTGTGTATATAAAAGTAAAAAAAATCCCTTCTCGCCCCTAAGGATGGTATGTGTCTTCCTCAATCTCAGGTCCTGTACCAGAGGCCTGGGAATTTAAGAGTTCTGGGCAGAATCTTAGCTGTTCCTAACACTGCACTCTTTTGTACAGAAAGCTCTGATGTTGTTCCTGGGATCTGTTATGGCCACTCTCCCAGCTTAGGAGTCACAGTCTTCAGTACTCCTACCACCATTGGCATCACTTTAGCCTTTACTTTCCATGTCCTCTCTAGTTCCATCTTCAGGCCCTGGTACTTCTCCAGCTTCTCATATTCCTTCTTCCTGATGTTGCTGTCACTTGGTACCACTATATCTATCACCACAGCTGACCTCTGGACCTTGTCTACTACCACAGTGTCTTGTTGATTGGCTAGTACCTGCCTGTCCATCAGAATCTGCAAGTCTCACAGGATTTAGCCTCTTTTTCTCCAGGACCTTCTTGTGTCATCTCACATCTGAACTTGGGAGGCTCTAGCCCATACATTGTGCAAATGTTCCTGTACACAATGGCAGCTACCTTGGTTATGCCATTCAGTATATATTACCCCTGCTTGCATCTCATACCCAGTCACTATGTACTAGACCAGTGTTTCCCAAACTTGACAATTTTAAGGCATGTGGACTTCAACTCCCAGAATTCCACAGCCAGCATTGCTGGCTGTGGAATTCTGGGAGTTGAAGTCCACATGCCTTAAAATTGTCAAGTTTGAGAAACACTGTACTAGACTATCACTGAGGCTTCTCTGCATTGTCTGCACCTTGGATCCCTCCTAATGTTATAGATCCCTGCTTTTATGGATCTGGTGTTGTGCTGTGCTGTGAGATTGTGTGTGTGTGCTGCCATAATAAAGTTTGTTTCTTTGCAGATTAAAAGAAAAAAATAGGGAAAAAAAAGTCCACTAGAAAACTAGATATGATAGCAAGTCATTCAAGCCGAACAGGTAGTCAAAATGAAGGAGGAGCAAATAGAAGAAACATCAGACACTAGAATAGAATAGAGCTGGATGGGATCTTAGAGGTCTTCTAGTCCAGCTCCCTGCTCAAGGAGGAGAATCTATACTATTTCAGACAACTGATTGTCTACAGTAGTCTCTTCTTAAACACCTCCAGTGATGGAGCACCCACGATTTCTGAAGGCAAGCTGTTCCATTGGGAGAGAGACAAAGAGACAATAAATAATAAATATAATAAGAGAAAACCCACTCACCAGTCGTTTGAAAGTTTCCGCAATCTCTCCCGAATCATCCCCGTGCTCCATGCTCGTCGCCATATTCGTGTCACCTTTAACCTCAGCGATATCGCGAAGCATCTTGGGACTGGGAGTCCAAATGCTTCCACTTGCCCCTCCCACTGTGGAATAGAGAGCGAGACGACACATTGCTTCAAAGTCTCCAGGTCCGGAAAGACGGGCGTATTCACTTTACAGTTAAAAACGTTGAACCGTTTCAACGTAACCGTTGAAAGGCTCATTGGATTAGTGTTAATGCGGCTCTTCCCAACGGGCTGCCAGCGCAGAAGCAAAACTTTCAATGGACGAGAGGCTTAACAACCTTCTTCCCAAAGATGGGCGGGTGTCGTATTTTACGGCAAGCCTAGAATTCCTACATTTAGCAAAACTTGAATTTCCTCAGGGATTTACATCGGTTCCTACCAGTATGTCTATCACCTATGGAGATGCAAAAAATCTGGAAAACGGCAGCAAACAGTAAAGAGATATAGAAAACTCTGTCGCTGTTGATCGTCCGGGTTTTTGGAACTCAGAAATGGGTCCCTAGATTAGTTTCTTTAAATGGAAACCGGAGTTCTCGACATAGAAAGAGGTCCCTAATTCTTACAATCTCTTTTCCCGTTGCCCAAAGCTCCTGTGGGAGGCTCTTGAGTGTTACAGAGCATTATTGATCCTAAAGACCGCCGCCAAGAGATCGTGTGGAAGGCGTGGAGTGTACAGCTAAGTACAATGAAAAGAAAAAGAAAATGCTTCCTAAAGTTAAATCCAGAGAAGCAAACTTTTAAATCAAACTCTGTATTAGTGATCAACTAAAGTGAAACAAAACTGCTAACTAATTTGAGTGGAAAAGGCTGATGACATTAAAAAATTACACGTATAGGAAGCTATTGCAATGTTTAAATTGTCTTGAATTTTGCAGAACAGATATAGAAAATTATGAAATGATATTGCAGAAAATTTTGTTTTCCCAAAATGAACAACTATTTGAGATTTCAAAAAGTTTTTCTAAGCCCAAATATGCATTCTGCTAGTTTAAAATAAAAACTGCTAAAGGAGTAAATTCTAAATATATTTATTCTGAATTATCAAATTATGTGGATTTATTGGGACTTATCTCAATACATAGGAGCAGTAAAGTTTTTGTGGCTGCTGTGCTTAAGGCAGAAATGTGGAATCCTTGGTGCTCTGAGCTTGTTTTTGTTACCCAGCTTGATAACATCTGTGCTAGAAAGGAGTGGAGTTTGATCTCTGTTTATACAGAAGGCTATCAGTGTTCTTAGTGTTCCTTGATTAGTCTGTTGTTTACTGTTTGTCTGAATTGGTGGTTCCTTGATTGGAGTATAAGGTAGAAATGTTATATATAATGATCCAGTCAGCTTTTATCCTTATCGGAGAATTAAAATTCATAGTCTCCTGGTTTCTAGTCCAGCACCTTTGCCACTACATCAAAATACAAGGGCAATTTGGAAATAAACCTCCTCTTGGTTATCAATGATAGACACTGGCAGATACAGAACTTTTATTATACACATTAGAAAACTACAACATTACATTACTTTTCGACATAATTGCAATTCAAATTGAGGCACTTGTCATAAGTTCTTACAAGATTTGAAATTCCTTAGTAGTAATCGCTCAGCGCCAAATCTGGACTGGGGGGGGTGATCAAAAACATCCCAACGGAACTGCTTCAAAAGTTCTGGGGTGCATCTAGTGGTGTGCGGGCAAGCATCATCATCAACCAACACCACACTGGAAGTCAGCATGCCCCTATGCTTGTTATGGATGGTTCATCTGAGTTTTTGTAACGTCTCACAGTAGACTTCTGAACTGATGGTCAAACCATGCTCCATGAACTTCACTAGCAGTACTCCTTTGGCATCTTCACATTTGGCGGGATTTTCTATGGCACCACTTCCGGTGTGGTGTTGGTTCATGATAATGCTCTCCCGTACACCACTAGACACACCCAAGAACTTTTGAAGCAGTTCTGTTGGGATGTTTTTGATCATCACCCCCATAGCCCAAATTTGGTGCTGAGCGACTACTATTAAGGAATCCCAAACCTTGTAAGACGTTATGACAAGTGTCTCAATTTGAATGACGATTATGTCAAAAAGTAATGTAAAGTTGTAGTTTTTTAATGTGTATAATAAAAGTTCTGTATCTGTGAGTGTCTGTCATTGATAACTAAATGGAGGTTTATTTCCAAATTGCCCTCGTAGCTCCCATTTTATTTGTTTGTTTCCTGCCTTTATAATTTTTATAAATAACTCAAGGTAGTGAACATACCTACTGGTAATACTTTGTTTTCCTTTTTTGCCCACGACAGCAATTCTATTAGGTGAGTTGGGCTGAGAGAGAGTGACTGACCCAAGGTCACATAGCCAGCTTTCATGCAAGCTTTAGTAAAAGGCTATAAAAACAGTTCTCAGGCCAAAGCACTTTTATTCTAGAATAAAGTGTATTGTATATACTTACAATACACATATAATTTTCCAAGGTTTTATAAAACTGATATACCTAATGATCACAAGTTGTCATAGATCTGAATGTGATTTTTACAAATGTTTCTCTTTTTAACTGCCTTATTAGTTACATGCCTTCTTTACTCTTAACCGGGGTCCCCAATCTATGGGCTGTGGATCGGGAGTGGGCCACGGGCTCTTGGTCTGCAGGCTACGGAAATGGCTGGCCGGTGTACACACGCATGGGCGTGCATTCTCCCCCTTGCACTAGTGCCCACGGTCCCATTTGCGTATGCGCATGGGCACAAACGGGGACAGTAACATAGGGCAGATGTCCACAGCCCGTTGGCACATGCGCGAACAAGGCTGCTAGCCCGGGTGAGTTGCACAGCCTGTTGGAACATGCATGAACGGGGCTGCTAGCAACCATGGGTGGTGCACAGTCATTTGGGCATGTGTATGGCGCTAGCGCAGCTGCATACACAAATAGCTGCTAGTGCTGCGCCAGTGTCTGTGGCCTCATGCTCATGCACCAATTTTGAAACTGCTCTCCTTCAGTCCGCGAGCCTAGAAAGGTTGGAGACCTCTGCTCTTAACTCTCTGAAAAAAAACATATCTGAGATTTAATCTCTTATTTTTGTTCTTTATTCAGAGATTGTGCCTATCGTACAAAAGGAGAGATTTAGCAGCACTACTTATACATTGTGTTTTATTCATTTAGAAGTCATACTTTTATGTATTACACAACAATTCTCTCTACTCCCAAACTCAGATCTCTCATGTGATCAGTAATCATGCTGTGCAGGGAGTTCACATAGGCTAAAAACGTATCAGGAATTGTATCCATAGCATGAATGAACTTTCCCAGTTAATGGGGGGGAGGGGAGAACCCATCCTAGCTACGTGCGTGACCACTGGAGAATTATGACCTACCTGCGTCATCCGTTGCTGGTATCTCACAGTGCCATATCCTCTTCTTGTATAGGAGCAGGAAATGTGTTAAGCAATCCAAACAAACTTACAGTGTGTAACTGCAAGAGCATCACAGTTGCTATATAGTTATAAATAATAGTCACAATTTTTAAGTTATAAATATGAAAGATTTATTTTTGCTACATTTCTGCAACTATCACATACACTTGCCAGATAACAATATTTGCAAACAAAAAACAGAAATTGAAGTGGTAACATATACAGTGACTAAACATCCACCAACCATTCATGGATTATCATTATTCAAAAAGGAGACCCACACAGTCACCTGGCAGCCTTATCTGTAGAGTTTTTTCTCTATTTCCCATTTTTCTTAATGAATCTTTCTACAATGTTTCTGGTTTCTCTACTGACACATTCTGGTGAGAGAAAAGTTCTCTGAGGATGGGCTCCAGTACGAGTACAAAAGGTTAGAAAATTAAATCTCTGATCCCAGTGACCTGATTGGATCCTGCAACATTATCATGGGACACATATTCTTGCCTTCATTTCTGGTTTCTCTGTTCATTCTTGGCCATTTTTTCTATTTTCACAAACAGTATTTCAAAAATCCACAACATCCACCTTTCCTTTGAGTTTTTCTTCCTTCTTTTCCTTCCCTGAGAAATTTGCAGGCCTGCAGAAATTAGGCCTGCTTTAGACATTTCTACATGGCAGTGTAAACTGCTTGTCATATGTTCTGCCCTTTTTATAACTTTGGAATCTTTTTTTAATAATATTTTATTAATTTTCCAATTTTACATTTAAGTATTTAAAAAGCAGCGTGGTGGCTGGGTTAATCAATAGTTCAATTACAAAATCTTTAATACAAATCTCAAATTATAACATCAAATATTTCCTCTCTTTTTCCCTTAACATTTATTGTCTCATATTTAAGCTAATACAGTTCTTATTATATCAACTCAGTAAAAACATCATTATTACATTTATCAATACATTTTTAGCTTATAAGTATCTTAATTATTTCTTATATTCAATCTTCATAAACAATCCATATCCTGTTATTATTTTTTCCCCAATTTTTAGTTTCCCATCAATATTCCAATTTTATCTTTGATATTTATGGTTTTCAGGCTTTAGGTAACCAAGATTTCCCTTGGTTACCTAAATTCATAACAAAATCTCAATTCATAACAAAATCTAATATCCAAAATACACATTTTATTTATTTGAATATAATCTTGTTCTATTTCCTAAGAGTTATCTATTTCCCACCATATTAAATCTAAATAATACAATATCCCCTTTAATAAATCAAAACCATTGTACCCATTGCCTGAGTTAATCAATAAATCAAACATATTCATAATAATTATTTTTTCTTTCTTTTAGGTCTAATTTTTAAGTATTAAACAGATAAAATCCTTATTTTCAACTAATTTCCAAATATTTTAAATCTAGTGAGCAGAATTTCCCTTATCTCAGCTTCTCCCTTTAACCCTCTAATTAATAATATGAAATCCCCTCTATTAAATCAAAACTCCAATTTTCTTCAGCCTTATTCTGGCTTTCTTCCTTTGCCAACCAGCCTTCCACGTCAGTGCTTTTAGATCGTCAAATAGATCTCCCTCTATTATATACGTTATTTGAAATAAAGGAGACCATTTAATTGCCACTTTTTTTGGAAGGACAAGCCCATTTGTATTCATTAAGTTGTCTCTCTTTTATTCCAATTCTCCATGATTGCCCTGATATGTTTGTCTTCCATTCAATCTGTTCTTCTTTCTCAAATTTCTTCTAATTTATAAAGAAAGTCTTTTCCATTTTCGGTGTTGTCGCTCCCTTTTTTGGATTTAACTGTATTAGTTGGTCAATTGAGTCCTCTGTCTTAATATTTGATTGTTCCACTTTTTCTGTTATCTTTTGTGTTGTTAGTTCTTTGGTTGTAGTCAAAGTTTGGGTTTGTGTATCTAAGCTGGCATCTTGATTTTTTATATTAGGTCTTATTTTATCACAAGCTGAAAGAATGGTTTCATGTATTGCTTTCAACATGGAAAGGATCTTTTCCTGGTCTTCCTCCATCTCTTTCACGTTTATAAATAGTCTTTATAATAGAAGTCATTTGTCAAGCAAGATTTTATAGTCCATCATCTCATATAGTAAACAATATTCCTCAAATAAAGAGATAGGAAGGCAATTCCCCACATATAACTCTGAAGGTCAGTAAAGGTTTACATTCATAGTTCAATAGGCCAGTTATGCCACCCAGCTGTTCTCTTAAAGCTGAGTTTCTCACAGGTAGTGCCAAGGTCAGAAGAGTCTTATCTAAGGTCTGGGCTTCAAGCCAAGTCTCTTTTACTAAATAACAAGTTGTAATATCAACCTTCGCCACAAGATGTCACTGATGCCATTCAAGGTTTTTTAAGTCCAACATTTTTATAATCCTTTTTCCAATTTTATTTCTTTTTTGTAGCTAAAAGCAAAAGTCTCCAATAAAAGTAGGAAAATTTTGGGTCCCCAAGTTTCAGGAACATATAAATCCAATTAGATTAAAGTTGTTCTTTTAGTGCTTTAATTTCCCTGGGTAGTCAGTCGCTGCTATTCTTAGAGGGTGGGATAGAAATTCCTTTCCCTCTCTCCTCATAGGGGGAAAGATACTTTGGGTAGCTTTTACAGGAAAAGAAAATACTTAGGGTAAAGAGAAGATCGGATCTCACCCAGTTTTATCCGCGTTGCTTTTGAAGTGCTTGGTGGTAAGTTTGACTTTGGCTGTCTGCAGCCTAGTGACGGGCCATATTACTATGGCTGGTCTTTCCTCTGCCAGTTTGGAGGGCTGCCCCAGATCGAGTGGAAGGACTGCTACCCTCCCGTGATCAAGCGGGGGTCCCCTCCTTGCTCGTCGCCCCCACAGGGTGACTTTCAACCCTTTCCAGGGTCCCCCAGCAGAGCAAAACTGAACGCGGAAGACAGAGCTTGCCTTCCAGCGGCCGCAATGGCAAACTGGAAGTCAACTTTGGAATTTTTCATGTATGTCAACCAGTGGTGGGATTCAGCCAGTTCGCATCAGTTTGGCAGAACCTGTAGCTAATTTTTTGTTGCCCAGGCCCAGAATGGACTTCCGGAAGCGGCATCCACACAGAGAACTGGTTGTTCACATATTTGAATCTCACCACTGATGTCAACAGTCCATAGGATCATGTGATAGTAGTGTTTAAATGTGCTATACAATGCAATGTGGCATCAAAAATATATCTTTGTTAGGATTCTAGATCAGTGATACATGTTTCCCTTCTCAGGCTTTTGGTTCACATTTGCTTGTTTAGTAGCACTCTGTTTCTTCTTCAGTTTGAAAATACAAAGCACAGAAGGGAGATAAATGCATCACTCTGTTCTGGTCATTCTCATTTTACATTAGTGGTGAAAGTTTATAGTGAAACTGTAACCCCTCTAGGACCATCATTGACTGCATTGCATCACAACCATCTCCCTCCCTCAAAGTGTATGCCATTAACATAATATATGTAGCTGCTGCAAATTTAATCAGCTGACCAATGCAGCATTTTGTTTAACAAATGTGAATCAGGCTGCTTGGTTAGTAGTTGTCTGGAAATCCTAGGGCTATGAGATCTGGACTTCAAGAATCTAAACAGCAGCAAAGAGATGCAGAAAACATTAGCTCTCTGCTTTTATCTAGTAGCCATGCTGAGTTTTGCAACTCAGATCCATTAGCCCCAAGAGCTTACAGATCACAGTATTCTGGATCTATATTTTAGCCACAGTACTACATCAGTATCAGAAGCTTCTACTTAGTATGTGGTAGTATAGCTTAGTATTACTTGCATATATTGCAGTTAGACCACCGTTTGGGAACTCATTTCGTTTATTATTTGAATAAATCATAATATGATGCATTTGGACAAAAGGTCACACTTGGTTTTAAGTTTATAATAAGTGTGCTCAGAACAAGATGTGTAGAAAAGCAGAAGGGAGCTTAAATTAAAAGAACTAGGATCATAATATTATGATCATGGAACTTTACCTCATACTCACTGATAATTTCTCCTGAATTTGTATATTTGAAGATGAAGAAAATAACACCAGTTATCATAATTATTTTTTTCAAACGTTCTGAATCCATTGCAATGTTTAGGGAGTTGCTATTTCTGAAGTAAATTTTTCAAGAATTGTGGAGAAATAACATAAATAACAGATAATTAAATTATTTCATATTTGTTCTGATTTTTATACTGCATTAGGATTCTGTAGAACAGTGGTTCTCAACCTGTGGGTCGGGACCCCATTTGGGGTCGAATGACCACGCTGTCCGCCATTTTTTTCCCTTTTCCTAGCTGTCCTACTCCCTCTTATTGGTGGCCACACCCACTTGGGGGTCACCACAACATGGGGAACTGTATTATGGGGTCACAGCATTAGAAAGGTTGAGAACCACTGCTGTAGAATATGTTTCTTGATTTTATAAATGACTGAAATAACCCAGAGATCATAATGGGCACGTCTTCCTTTCCCACAAAGACAGACAGGCAAAGAATATGTCAGATTTGCTATGTTGTCTTCACAAAACATACCTTATACTCACATACTTTGGCTCCAAAATACATTCCTTCATTGCTATCACTTAAGGAACTTGAGAATTCCCAATATACTCTTTAATAATAAAGAAATGGGAAACATCACATTATCTTTGGATTTGACAGCTTGATGGTTTACTCCTCATTATTGATAAGCCCAAGCTGTGTCTTTGGACACATATGACTGAATGCTCCCCAACAGGAAAATAAAATCACTGCCTTAAAAAGGCAGGCTTTCAGGAAAACTGTCATGTTGTGAGCTCTTGTTCTTATTTGTAGAGACAGGAGAAATAATTCAATTGCATAAAACCTAGACCTGCTCTGTAAAATGGTATAGCTCAAAACACAATAGCTGGGTGAGAATTAAGCTTACATGTATACCTGGAAACATTTTCTCATTCTTCTGATATACACAATTGGTCATTTTTGCCTTTTTTCTCCTTTCTTTTTTAGAGAGTCTGGTCCCAAATTTATCACATCCCAGGGAATAATTTCCAGTACCACATGTAAAATTTTACAGAACTGACATCCACTTGTAGGGATAATGGGGGTGGGGTTGGTTGTACTACCACCAGATTTGGGCTGCAAATCTTCAGATGACCCTATCTGATGTCCAGATTTGGGAGCTCTATTACTATGAAATTATTTGCATGTATATTTATAGATGTGTGAAGAAGTTCTGTAACATGTGCACAAATCAGTCCCAAATTATTATTAATTGTTCCATCAAGACATATGAATCTTACAGTTTCTTGTATGTTAAATGAATTTCAGACATAATAAGATCGTGGAAGGTGTTCATTATAGTATCGAATTATAAAGCAACAATTCAACCTTTCTGTTATCTTTTGATCTCAGCATGCCTTTTCCTTTGTGAAAGAAATGGAAAGAAGAAAAAGAAAGAAAAATACATGGCTAACTGGCTTTTCCATTGTGAAAAAGTCTTTGAGGAATGCTTTCCACCATCTTTGGTTTAGTTTTTCTTCTTCCTAGCCTTCTATTCAACAATATTTTGAATATAGAAAACTAATGATTAATCAATTCAAGTGAAGAGGAGCATCTAATTTTTATATAAAACAGTTTTTACTAAAAGATTCAATCTGCGAAGGCTTTTCTTAAAAAAATGTTATTTTTGCACATTGTAGTAAAATGTTTCTGGATATAAAGGCACAGGAAAATGATCTATTAAAAATAATTCTTAAAATGAAATTTTAACAGAATTTTGAAAAAAGACTTGTTCTGGCTTCTTTATCATGTCTTTTGAATGAAAATATTAACAAAGAGAATGACTTCAAGCATTTTAAAGACGTTGCCTTAGATACAGTGAAGAATATCTTATTCTGTCTTGTGTTGACAATGTTCTTATTCGTTTAGACAAAGAGTTCAATAATATTGGCCCATATAAATAAATATAAAACTACATGATATTTTGGCATATGTGTGAAAAGAGTACATGAAAGATAGCTATGACAAATGAGACAAAGATTATAAAGTCAGAGAAACAAAAGGAAAGAAAAGAAATGATTCAGTCCTAAACCTACTTGTAGAGCAAATTCCCATCTGTTATGAGAACATCATAAGGAGAAGTTCAGAAATATTTAGGCTTTGCTTATCTGTCTCATTCTCACAGTTCAACAGGTTTTGGACTTGCCAAACATTTGTATTCCATCATGACCTCTTGAGCATTCAAATAAAATTACTGTCAGAGCTTTGAAAATTATTCCCTATTTTTTTCTATTATTGTGAAACATTAATTGAAATTTCATGTGTTAAGGAAACTTCAGCTTATTGTGCTATCATTCAGTCGGACTTTTGGAAAACTTTTCCTGCCTAGAAAACCTAAGTATGGTGCTTTGTGACAAACAACTTCCCTTGAAATGTGCTGAAAGTATAGACTACAACTGATAGAACCATGGTTTCTGTATGTTATGTTAATCATCAAAAAATAAAACAAAATAGAAGGGTGCAGAGAATTGCAGATCCTAGGAAATGTGTAGAGAAAATTCCTGGGTACATAAAATATTAATTTTAAATCACAGTACTGGTATTTAGCATTTTATGCCCAAGTTTCATTTTTTTTTCAAGAAGACTTGTGTTACTGCAGAGTCATTCTGACCATTGATCCTATGTCAACATTCTAATCCTTTTGTCCTCCAAGAACATGCTTTCCTTCTTTCTAAAAGCTTGCAGATTTCATCCATGTGCCTTGCACAGGCTTCTAGGTTTTCTGCCAGTTTCTGGATTTTTGCCCTAAGTAGAGTATAGCTCACTTTTGTCATCTCTTCTTTGTGCTCAGGCATCAGAAAGCCCTGAGGACCACAGAATACCAGGAAGCAGGCAGAATTATAAAGGGCAATAGAAGCATTTTTCTCAGTCTGCAATAAGAAAGGATCGGTGGGATTCCAACTGCGGTGCAGGAACTCCAAGCAATTCATTGTTTCCTTCATCTGATTGTGACAAGCCAGGGCAATTTTTTTTATTCTTTTCACCTCCTTGGAGTTACAGAGCACTAAAGAAAGGTCTGAAGTCATGGAAACAGCCCCTCCTGCAGCCGCCACTCCTAAACCCACCCCAGAAGCCAAGAGGGAGGCTCCTAGAGTTGCAGGGCTCAAGGACAGCCCCACTATGGCCATAATTGCTCCAGCAGCACTTAAAGAATTTCCCGTTAGATATGCAATGAGAGAACATCTGTTCAGTTTACTGAGTCTCTGTAATATCTCTTGGAGTTTCTTGATGTAGTTGCATAGCCGGCTTTGCTGGTCAAGCAGTGTGTTGTAAAAGCAACATGTAGGATCAAAACCGAAGGGGAAAACACCATATTCCATAATCTTCATGGAAGAGAAGGGAAAATAAAAGAAGGTCACTAAGAACGGCAAACTCATACTTTGATCAAGAGACATACAGCTGTATCTGGAATCCTAAACAAAGTTTTCCCTGCCCAGGAATTCTGAGAATTGCCATCCTAATATATCTAGGCAGCAACTTGGCAGTTTGCTTTTAACCCATTCTACAAACCATATCTTTTCTTCTGTCTTAATTTGAGATTCAAGCCCTTCCCCCATAGTTCCTGATTGCTCCAAGACTTTTTGTTACTTTTGGTATAGCCCTCTAAAAATAATTCCTAAAATCTTGGCAAGCTTTCCCATGAAAATTTTCATGGACTATCTTTTGTAGCATCCTTTAAGAGCTATGAAACTATTGCACTCTCTTGTAAATCGCCAGAAAGAGAAGCATACATCCCTAAATGAAAGTAAAGATTATCTATTTTAGACAGCTTTCTCATGTACATACTGTATGATTTTTCCCCACTATTGAAAACACTTCATCCATCCTTGACTCAGCAGAAAACTATACAGGAATCAAATTTGCTACCCCCCAGTATCAATTCTATGTTATCTTTATTTGCTTGTCTTTCTGTCTCTGCCACTTACCTCACATCTCAAACATAACGGATGAAGATTAATTGTTTATCATAACTTTGAAGCTACCCTTGGACAGTATTGGAATAAAAGAGGGGAATATATTTTAACACTAATACAGCTAAGATTGACTTAAAATTGTCTCATTCATAGGCTAAGAACAAAATGAAAATTATATTATGGGGACCCAGCGCAAGTGCAAAGGAAGAAATGTAATAGATAAGGATCTTAATGTGATGTTGAACTATATTCCTAAAATATAGAATTGATCATCTCATTAAAAGCTTTGGCCTTTTCAAGCTTGGGGCACAGCAAAATGATAATTTTAGGTAATTGGAAAGAAGTCTACTTTCCTGATTTTAAGAAATGGATTCAGGATACAATTTGATTTCAAAAAGTTTCTATGTTTAAAACTGAGAAAGTAGTACAGTATGTCTCCATGTCAGTTATATTTAATGATAAACCTAAGGACTGAATTAATTTTTATCATAATCTATTGTTATATAATTTTTTCTCTTTTAGTTTTAGTCACATTCAGTTTATAATCACTGTCTTTTAAAAATTAGGGCAGTAGTTTTCTATATTTCACTATTAAAACATAACTTTTTTTAAAAAAAAAATTCTCTTCACCTTCTCTCACAAGTCCAAGACAGTAAATTGCAGCCCAAGCCATCATTACATTGCAGCAGATTTTCTGGATACCTTTGAATGACAATTTACCATAAAGTAGAATAATAATGAGAACCAGTTTAGTAATGGTTAATGCACAAGGCTAAAACTGGGGAATTATGAATTCTAGTCCTATGTTAGGCATCAAGCTAGCAGGGCCATTTGCTTTTCTCAACCCTAGGAAGGAAGAAAAGGCAAACCACTTCCAAAACTCTAGCCAAGAAAACTGCAGGGATTAGTTTAGGCAGTCACCTGGAGTCAACACTAACTAGAAAAGAAGGAGAAGAATCCCTGACTTTGTCCCATTAAATTATGTGAAAAAGGTTAAAAGTTAGCATTCTTTTTAAGTAAAAGTAAATTATTTTATAGAGAAGGAAGGATAAAAATATCTACAATAAAATGTTCAAAAGGTTTTCAAAGTGAAAAAGTAATAATTCCACTTACCATCGTTTTCTCTCAGACCAGTGTTCTCATTAATGATTCTCACGCTGTTTTGGGACCAGCTTTATTTATACTTTCCATAACCCCCTTTGCTCCAGTGGGATTGCTTTGTATCAGACCAGAAATCTGTCATTTCCTGGCACCCCTACCCATTATCCTTCCCCTGGAGACTTCAGAAGGATATGACACTGAACACTGGCTATGGAGACAAGTGCCTCTCCTGTTAGATTCAGGAAACCATCTTTATACTGTTTGTTCTAAAATACATCTACACACACTCACAAACACACACACTACCGTTCCTGACTCTAATCAAGTGTGGTCATTTCCCAAAGAGAGAACTCTACCCTTCCTCTTCTTGAAATAACTGGTAACATCATGCTTTCATGTTATGGGACTCTGTGCCTTCCAGGCAGGTGACTGAGCCAGCAGAATCTTTTCATAAAATACAGGATGATCTCATCCAATCTTCCAGATTACTTGAATTCTTTGTCTTTTGTAAAGGAAAAACATGTCACAGGAATGCTGCTCTTGATTGCCTGGGATACACCAGATCCAGAGTTAAACAGTTTTCAAAAATGCATATAGGCATCTATTGTATCCACCCTTGCAAAATTTCAAAAAGCGTTTGATAACTTTCCTCAACAAAGGAGCAAACGTAGTGGTCATGAGATAAGAGGATTCATCCACTTATTGTTAACTATCTAAAACATTCTTGGAGACTTCCAAGAACTTGCACGTCTCTGCAATTTTATTGGCGAGATTTTTCAAAAGTGGTTTGCCATTGCCTCCTTCCTAGGGCTGAGAGAAAGTGGTCCAAAGATCACCCAGTTGGCTTTGTACCCAAGATGGGATGGATGGTCCCCTGGTTTCTAACCTGATGCCTTAAGCAGTATACCAAACTGGCTGTAGCTAAAACATAGAAAAAAAACCAGCAAGAATGAATGAGCAACTTTTAGTGCAGGGAAGTAAGACATGGATCAGCGTCGGGACTAATGCTTGCTAATGTTCAGAATGGATTTTGGCTTAAGGATAAGCAATGAGCTGCTTAAGTCTGTGGATGATACCCAATTTTTCAGTGTTCTGAAAAGCAAGAAGTTAGTATAATGGTATGTGGGAATAACCTTCAGAAACAGAAGGAAGAGCTGCAGATTGGATGATCATCATGTACATATAGTCCTTGGCTTATGGTCAGTCGCTTAGCAATCTTTTGAAGTTATGACAGACCCCCCCCCTAAAAAAGGTTCCAATGACCTATTCCCCCTCCCCCCCCGTGGTCCTGTGACTGCACTTCACTCAGCAGTTGGACCATATTTATGGCCATTTGCATCATCCCACAGTCATGTGACAACATTTTACCTCATTTTTGTTGAAAACTGTTTTTTTTTTCTTCCAGATACCAGGCATGTCTTTTTATATTTTGGTTGCCATATCAAATGAAAAAGAAAAATATGCTTTTGCAAACTTGTTATTCATAAGACAATTTTATTATATTTATTATATGGGTTAATTCAAGGAATTTCAGCATGAATAATTACAAACTAAGAACAAAATGCTCACTAATTATGTTTCAACATCTTAGATTACATACTAATAATGTTATTTGCTTGCTGCCCAACATAATAGGACAGTATTTTCATACATATTTATGTATACACACAGAATTATTAGGCCTTAGGCAATACCATCACATTACCTATAATTTTATATGACAATATTTTCCAGTCAAAGATGTTTCCCCTGGGAAACTCATGGGCCTGCAAAACTTTCTCTATATCATGAGATTTCAGTACATAATCCCACATGTAGAGATCTGATATTTCTCCCACAAAATGTGGCTTTTGCTGATCAGGCATATTTTGTGCACCTTGATCCCGTCCAAGCATTGCTGTACCACCTGCTTGGAGAATGTGTCCCATATTATGCACTTTTCGGATACTACTTTTTCCATTCATCCAAAAGGCTGTAAGGCCAAATGCTGACTCCCAGGTGACACAGATGTGGCTCCCCAAAGTGCTGAGATCAGGAAGGGCAAACCTCACACTCCGACCCCCCATGTATAAACCAAAGTGGCCCATTGCTTCACGCAAGATTCTCAATTCATCATTTTGAGAATGGTAGGAAAAGAGAATTATTCTGTGTTCATCTAAATACTCTACTGCAACCCTCATACAGAGTGTGAATTCCATCAAATTCAAAGGCTGCATTGGGGATATGATCACAAAACTGCTTTTTGTTTCTTTGGGGAAACTCAGAACTCTGTCTTGTAGACCTAGAAGAGAGAATATTATCATGACCTTTCAAGAAGTACACTAAATCAGTGTTTTTATTTGTGTGTTATCACAGAGCTATATCTTAACATTCTACAGTAATTAGCATATGTAATGAAAACCGTTATATAGGTATGGTTATCAGCAATACCTATCTGTACATTATTACTCTGGGGTAGACAGGAGATGCTCTCAATATCATGACCCAAGTCTGTAGACTGTAAGAGTATGGATGGGATATAAAAGGCTGAAATTTTACTAAAGCAAGATAGAGCTACTATCGGTTCATTAAAGTTCTTCAATGTCTCAAGTGTTCTTCATGGAATGGTACTATTTTGAAGGAAGAAGGATCTTCCTAGAGTAACAGCTATTGCTAAATGGGCAGGTAAAAGTCATGACCAGAGAGTATTGCCTAACTTCAGTTTGTATACCAATTGCAGCCATAGTTACAGGATGTTGTGGCAGTGACTCATATCCTTATCATCTTTCATTTAGACTCTCTGTTGCATGCAGTACATAAGATTGCCTTTTAAACCTGCTTAGAGGTGTGGTCTCAGAATTGGTCCAGAATACATCAGCCCAGTTGCTGATGGGCATTCACTAAAATGAGCACACTACATCTGTGCACTATGTTGGTTTCTATTAGCTCCAAGTGTAATTAAAGTGCTGGGTTGGTTTTTGTTTTTTTGTTTTTTATCTTGAAAGACCTATATGATGTCAGAATGCTTACAGGGCCATCTTTTCTATTCAATTTTGACCCACTTGAACATATTCAAGTTGAACATCTCAGAACCACCTTGTGTTTCCACACATTTTTAAAAGATAAAGGTAGGGAAGAATTCATAGAAGCACCTTCATTAGGGATATGCTTACATTTTGGAATAGCCTCCCCTCAGGAATTCAATCCCTCTTACAAGCTTTCTTTAAGTTGTTAAAAACAAAATTACTTTGGAGAGCCTTGGAAGGTTGAGCTGATGTCATCACGTAGTATAAGTAACAGTGGGATATGATTTTATTGTTTTTAGCCTTTTACTATGGATGTTGTATTGCATTTTTGCTAATAATATTTTCTGATTGGGGTAAAATATAAATCAAATAACTATTTATTATATGACTGCTCTCTATTGGTAGTCTTTATCTTTTTTTGTATCTTTATTCGTCTTTTGTATTCCCTAAAGAACTTTTATTATTAGGGTGTTCAAACATGCGCGTATAAAAATGATTCATTGTTTACTTCTGTCTCTATCATTGTCCCCTTCCTCTATTATTTCACTTTCAATGAATTATTCTGAAAGACCTTGAGATGAGCAGCAGCAACATATATCCACCTTTTTGATCTGATACTTGTTTTGCGTCTTTTCAATCAAACATTAGTCAGGTCAAAGCAAATCAGGGATACTCAGTTACCAGCCTCACCCTATGACTTCTGTATTTACCCCCATACCCCAGTGACCTGTCTGAGATTCTCTCACAGGCTAATTGCACATGAAAATACATCTGGGCAAAGGTGAGCTACATGACAAATAGATGATCAACATATATACAGTAGCTATTCTCCCCAAGCCCAAACTATATTAAGAAAAACACCATAAACTATTCAGTTCCATTAAAGATGTAGGAAGAAGAGACAAAATTAGGGAAATAAAGGGATAATTTTTAGAATATTAAATAATTCCCTTGCAAAGACTATTAGAAAGAAGCATAAACCAACCTACAATACGACAACGCACATACCTGAATCAGTGTCACTGTCTCGAACAGGACTCCGTCCTCCATCATGAACTGCAAGAAATGAAATGTCTGAATTTCTAATATTCAAGAATGAAAGATTCATATTCACCATAAGACTTGATTGTATCACTACTCTGGCCTCTGAAAAATGAAAGAAGATGTTCCTTGAAAGAAAGAGGATATAGATACAGAAAAGGGTGCCTTACACACACACCCAATAAACCTCTCCCTCTCCCTCTAATTTACTAGACTGAATTTGCAAGATCAGTTGTTCTCTTAGAAAATGGGAATTCAAGAAGAGCTGATACATTGTCAGCTATTTATTACCATTGCATTTTGTGAGTTTTATAGCTCAGAAAATATTAATGTGTCTTGAAAATTTTGTGTCTTTTTTCCTAAACTATCTACTATTGTATGTAGTTGGGCAATATTGCTATCTGGATTAACCCTCTTAATACAATCAAATTTAGAATTTCATACTCTGTATAACAAGAAAGAACTACAAGATGGCAGGAGTAAATTACAACTAAATGAGAATATTTATGAAAATTAGTTTTAAGACAAGAAATATGTCCAACAAATCCATGTAGATCAAAGATAAAGGATCAACAGTCTCAGGAATGGCATTTTTATCAATATTTCTATAATCATACAAATCCTAAACTTCTTGGTTTTCCTTAATCAATAGAACCTAGATTCTAGCATTCTTCCTGCTCCATTTAATATCAGTCTTCTATTTGGGAAGCAGAATTCACAACTACCTGGCAGTAAAAGAAAAAATAGTGATTCAACTGAACCTAATTCTGAAAAGATGAAAGGCTTTGGACCAGAGGTAGGCAATATGCTAACATCTAGATGATGTTGGGATTAGAAATATACAGTATGCTCTTCAGGAAAGTCATCAGATCAATTCCATAATCACAAATCAACATCATTAAATGATATCAAAGTCCTTTCCTCCTAAATAAAAATAACTAGTAAAACACTGCCTACAAAAGCTAATTATATTGTTAAAAATTGCTTCTTGCCCCCAAATATAGATAGAACATATCATTTTCTTCTTATCTTCAACTTCCTTCAGTTTATCACAATACATTACCTTTTACATAAAATGGCACAGTAGGAAACGTTTGAAGAAAATTCAAGTCAGGTATTTTGGGTTGAAAAAGCAGTAACTCTAGCTAGAAAGCTGAAGGCAAGTTGGAGTGTGGTCATCAGGTATTTTAAATCATGCAAATTCAAACTGAATTATGAACATACCATGAAGCTGGGACAATATATTGCCAACAGAGTAGGAAAGAACAATATTTGAAGGATTAGGGTCACAATCTGAAGGATTGCCACAATAATATTTACAGAAGGATCAGGGCAGAATTTGTCAGTCTGCTTTTTTCATATTTTGGAATGAATCAATGATGGGAATGGCGATAAGGAAATTCTGTGATTCATTTTATCTGTTTCTGCTCTTAAAGCTCTGCTGAAAATACAAAATTAGTCCCAAATCATGCTGCTGATTTTTATTTGCAAAATGACTGCATTTCAGGTCATTTTTTTCTGATTTCTAGATGCGGATTTAAAATAAGAAATGCAGGCAGTTTGCCTCTGAAAGTCCTCTATTCTGATCATATATTTTTTTAAAAAAATAAAGTAGGTATTTCTAAAAATTAGCCATTTTGCTGCTAAATTTCTATACTGCAACTTCAGGATACCCAAGGGTTATATCTTCAGACCAGTATATTCCCCTACTGCTGAATTTTTATTAACTATAGCTTTTATCTTCTTTTCCATTAAGTGAAAGATGTTGTGAGACTTTGTGTTGCTACTGTGCTGATCACTCCATAACCATAAGAATGCATTTTCCTTATCTCAACAAAACAGGCAACTGTCAGTGCTCTCAGTTAAATATATGTGCATCTTAGTCTATATTTTCCTCATATTAGATGTTTGAAGTAAAGCCAACATACTCATTATGATGAAAAACAGTAGATGTAAACACAGAACATTATATAAGCCATACATCCTCTATTCACTACGGTGCTCATAGTATTCACACAGTTTCTGCTTACCTATATGAAGCCATGGATGTGCAAGCACCTGCACTTCACAGAGTGTTAGGAATTCATATCTCCCAGGGATTGTGATGGTCACATACTGTCCTTGCATGCCTGCACAATTAAATGACATTGTTTCCCCACGTCCCATGCTGTTGATTGTAGTACACCTGCCAAGGGGCCAGATTGTTATTGAACTGCAGATTGGCACAACAGGAATCGGAGTCCTTGGATTTATGCGTGAGCTTTATCAACATTCATGCTAAGAGAAGCCATGATTTCCACAAGATTCTCAGAACACAGGGAACAATATCTACCACATTTATATATCTGCTAGTAATCTCTGTTCCCCCAATATTGGTCCTTATAAAACTACACTTTGCGATCTCCTTTGCTTCTGGTGTGAGTAAAATAAACTCTGATGAGGATATAGATTGTAACTCCTGTTGGCAATCTTTCCACTGTCTTATAAATTAGTTACATTTTACTATAGATGCACTAATTCACAACTTGAAATGTAATTATTTAATTTATTGGCTGTCCATCTTACCACAAAGTAAGTTTTAGATGTATTAGTTCACTGACCAAACATTGATTAGTAGCTATTTATCATTTAACCCAGCTCCTAAATACGTGACCTCCCCAAAAACCCTTGCAGTTTATTAATGTTCAACTCAACATAACTTTTAAGTAATCTACTCAAAAGTAAAATTTTGAATTTTCATTCAATCAAAATGCAACATCTAATCAAAGGGTTAGTGAGTTTAGGAAAAACTTCCAAATTTTCCAAAAGTAAAAACAAAATGAAGTAAGAAAAAGGAGTTGGGTCCAAAACAACACAGTACAGGTAATCCCCGAGTTATGAGCGTTCACTGAACGCTCATTCAAAGTTACGCGATAACTTTGCTAGTGCTTACGAGCAAGTTTTGAAATTACGAATATTGCAGCATCACGGCAGTCATTCGCCCTTACGAGGACTGCAGAGGTTCTGCAACATTCACCCTGGTTATTCCCTCCATCCCCACCTCCACCCCAGGTCTCACTAGGCCTTCAATACTCACCCTACAAAGATCGAGATCCTTTGCTTTCTTGGCTGCTCCAGGCTTTTGGTGAGTTCGCAGAGAATGGAGGCCTAAAGTAACGCAAGATCACATGAGATCAGTGGGGCAAGATCTCATGCTACTGATCTCACGTGATCTCATGGTACTTTAGGCCTGTGTTCTTTGCAACAGAGTATGGAACCGAATCCGGGGGACACTTCCATGTGCCTCCAGAGGCTGGATTGGGACATTGGACACCATTTCCCAGCCCCTGCCACCCAGATCTGAGGACAGAGGATGCTTCTCTGTGCCTCCAGAGGCTGGATTGGAGTGACAGAGGCCTTTTCCAGGCCCTTGCCACCCAGATCTGAGGACAGGGGATACATCCTCAGGCCTCCGGCGGCATGATCCAGGCACTGGAGACCTTTTCTAGGCCACTGCTGCCCAGATCTGAGGCTGGGGGCGCTTCTGCGGCCCTCCAGCAGTCTGTTTCTGGGAGGCAGAGAGGCCTGGAGAAGGCCTCCAATGCCCCTATCTGGCCTCTGGAGGCATGCAGAAGCGACCCCCGGCCTCAGATCCAGATGGCAGCAGGAACTCTAGCAGAGAGGAGACTGATCTTTTGAAGGTGAGTCCAGCACGTTAGGAAGGGAGAAGCATGAGGTATCTTAGTGGGTCGGGGAGGCCTTGGGGGCCTATTCCATCACTAGGTCCTCCATGGCCTTCCCCACCCTGAGATACCTCATGTTTACTTAACGAATTGCTTGTGTCTTAACGAGCAAGGGAGTGATCTCATTTGAGGTACAAGATTCACTCCCATGAGTTATTGAGTTAGGGTTAGGGGAATGGGCAGGCTCCATTACCCTCGTAACTCGTAACTCGAGTACTACCTGTAAAAACTGAGCCTCTTCAGTTGCTATGGAATGCTGACAGAAAGAGATGAAAATAAGCAATAATGAAATGGAGTACAGTATTTTGAAAAAGACCATGCCTAGCTAAAACTATAACTACCTGATGTGGCTGTAGAAATCTGGAAGACTGCTAAACAGCTGAAAAGTGCTATGTTGGGCTTACACAGTGGTATCAAGAGCAAGCAGTGGATGTAGCTGTATGTCAAGTATCAGAAGGGAAGTTTAATTGTGATTTCCAGGGGAGGTATGGCAAACTGAAGATGGTGTGCTGCAGCAAAGACTAAGAAACTGGCTAATAAAATAGTTCCTTGGAACCTTTCCACCTAAGGACAGGATGGGAGATTGGGATAAGCCAGGATGGCTGCTCCTCATAAGGAGATCAAAGGACAGCAGTTTTCCATAGTTGTGAGTGCCAGAAGATGATGAGATTAACTATCTTGCTTGCAGCTGTTGTAAATACTTTTAAAGGATACTAAGTTCACAAACTTCACTTTCTAATCACTTTCAGAAATGGCTCATTAACTACTTCTAAGCTATTAAAGATACCTGCATTGACAAATCTGAAAATACAGGGGTGAGTCTGCCTTCAATCCCAAATGAAAGAAAATTTTAATGATAAGCTTTAGAACAGTGGTTCTCAACCTGTGGATCGGGATCCCATTTGGGGTCGAACGACCATTTCACGGGGATCGCCAAACAACGCAGTCCGCCATTTTTTTCCCCTTTTCCTTAGCTGTGCTACTCCCTCTCTTGAATAGAGTCTAATTCTATTGGCTTTCAAAAGCCAATAGGAATTGTCCAGGCTGTCTCTGCCCTACTGAGCCTGCCAAAAGTCCCATTCTGCAAACGGTGCTGCACCAGTTGAGTAGTCCTTGACTTGCGACCGGTTGAGTAGTCCTCGACTTACGACTGGTTGGGGGTCGCGGCATTAAAAAGGTTAAGAACCACTTCTTTAGAATTTAAAGAATAAACAGCAAAAAGCTAAACATGATTTTGATTTTAGAAAGTTATGAATGGAAAGAGTCCAGATAAAATTGAAATATTGTAATTTTTATAATAAGATTTTGGAATAATTATAAAAAACAAACAGCTGCTTGCTGGACATAGATTCTCTTTAGGCTTTTACAAAACAAAACAAGCAATTTCATAAACTGAACACTAGATGGGGCTAAAATTTAGAGGAATAATTTATAATCTGAAAAAACGTTGAAAACATTCTAACAATGAATATATTGAAGAAGACTTTGAAGGATGGAAAGAAAACAGCCACAATATCAACAATGTTTGTAATGATGTCTACTTCTATGGATAGACTATTCCCAAAAGATGTTATCATTGAAATGACAGATGTAGAACAAATTTTAGACGACAAGATAGAGATGGTATCAAAAGTGGACTTAACTTACAATTGACAGGCAAGAGAATTACTTAATAGAATTATTTTGGCCGCTCAACACCAGGCCACATTTATGGCCATTTGCAAGTGTCATGTGTCTACATTTTATGACAGTTCTACCAAAAACTGGCATTCTCCAGCAGGATGGCTGTAGAGTCCAATGGTTGGGTTCCATGACAGCCTTCCCGCCCGACAGACTAGGTCAAAACTTTGGCCACACCCTCTCTTTGGCGTGACTCCAGTTTTGACTTAGTCTCGAGCCCGTTAACAGCAAAAAAACCTTAGCTCCTTAGATAGTCAAAATTGAGACAAATTGAGTCAAATCCTCCTCTCTCTTACTGCGTTTGCTGTGGTATCCGAGAAGACGTTCTCTTCTTAGATTGCAGCTCTGAGCCTTCTGTCAGAACTTTGAGACCTGAGGGCCTTGTTTCCGTCATTGTGGTGAGCATATCGCATTGCGAGCACATTCCAAACTATTTCGGGGACTCGGAGCCTTCGTAGCAGCAGCGGAGCTCATCTCTACTCAGCTGTGAAGCGCAAGCTCCAGCGGCTCCGGAACGACCGGCAGATCCGCGGATCGCCGGTCAGCAGTATAGGGGGTGGTTTTTTTCTACCAAGCTCCTTTGCCAGCTGACTTTAAGAAGCGCAGATTGCAAAACACGGAGTTAAACAAACGGCTGTACTTGAGGGAAGTTTCCCTTTCGGATCACCCCATCCCTCGTGAGTCTTCTCTGCTGATTACCTCAGCCCATAAACTCCCCGTGAAGGCTTCAATCGCCATTTTGAGCCTCGTGTTATTCTAGAAGCTGACAGTTTGGCAGTTAGGGGGCGTGGTCTCCCTCTTCAGCGCCATTTTGGGTGTCCTTACTGTTCCTTTCTCCATTAGTTGGGTCAACTACCGGAGTTTTTTCAGACCTGCTTTTCCTCCCGTCTGGGATTAGTTTGCTCTTATATACACACATATATATTTATAATAATGATAATGATAATAATAATAATAATAATAATAATAATAATAATAATAATAATAATAATAATAAATATATAATAGAATAGAGAGAGGGGAAGGAGAGAGAAATATACATTATTAGACACCCTTGGGTCTGTCTTTACAGCCCAGTTACTTGGGGGCAGTACAGTTCTGCAGATAATCATTCTTATTAAACCTGATTATTGGCTGGAGGAGTGTGAGGAGTTTTCCCTTGTATTCCATCTGCTCTCTAAGGTGACCGTTTGTCACCGGCCCCACAGGACCTTTCTTCTCAGAATAGTACCTGTCTGTCCGGCCATTGTTTGACTTCAGAGTCAGGCTTGCAGCCTACAAACTCTGCATCTGATCTGCATGTTTCTGGCTTCCTCCCACTCCAGGTATTGCCTACTCGGGGTACCTGGCCACAATGGCAGACAGTGTCTCGCATTCAGCTATACAGGGTCCCCAACTGCTCCCCCCCACAACAACAACAAAAGCGCAGATCCACAGAATCTGATGTGGGGGGGAAGAAGAAGGCCAAAACAAAGCACCTTATCCAAAAGGGACCCTCCAAAACAGCTGAGCGAGAGGCCTAGAGGAGACATTTGGCGCTAGAAAAACAATTCTCCAGTGCCCAGAGAACCAGATCCAATGAGGCAAACATGGTTTCCCCTGCCCCATTGGCGGCCCCTATACCAGAGCCTACTTCCCAGGAAGTCCTTAGAACTTGATCTCCTCTGGGGGAAACCGAACAGATGGATACTTCTCACTCCTCATCACCAGCATCATCACCAGACCATACTCCCACTACAGCTGCGTCTAACGACAAAGCTCAGAAGGACATATGGTCTGCCCA